TTCATCTAGAATAAATTTGCCAAGTTCTTAATTGATTCATCCACAAACATTTGTCTCCATTTCAAAGAATTTATACAAAGCAACAGACAAAGGAATATTCTTCACTTCTCCTCTAGAATACTTTTTAATGCCATCTATGCATCTATTTGCAAGTCTGCTGTGATTGATTCAGTACTAGTGTTATTTTAAAAGGCTGTATCTCAACTAAAACAGTATATGATCTCCTGAAATAAAAACTAGGCTTCTTGTCAATTTCTTGAAATTATCTCTCATCTCAAATTGTTGTATGTGATAGAAAGTAATTTCACATCATGCTAAAATGAATAGCATTTTGTAAATTCAAATCATCCTAATATTGCATTAAGAACAAGGCCTTTGTTCTGAAATCACTACCAGCCATAATGGAAACCAGACACTACTGCTTTAAGAAGTAACTCACTGAAATCGATGAAATAATCACCCAATCCATAAAGCATTTCTAAGATTTACCATAAAGCACAGGTAATTTTTTAACGGAAGAGAAATAATTCTTTCTTATGATCCCAAACATCAAATGCCACCACATCATAAAAACTAAATATGGCACCTGGATGATTTTATTGTGTTCATCCATTTGTTCATGCAATACATACTCACTTTGCAACAGTGAAAACATTATGCTTGTTCATTTTTAGTTTTACTGTTATTTAATCAACAAGACTCAGTGTTTTTCCCTGGGGAGATGATTGCCACAAGTGAATCCAGTTCAGGCAGAAGATCGGAAAGGACTCGGTTCTGCTTCACTGCTCCTGCGCCCACACACCATCGACTCCGTCCAGTGTGATGCAAGACTGGTTCTTCCTGGATGCCTGGCCACGTGCTTCTTCAAGGATAGGGCACTGTGGCATGAACCGGGGAGCACGCTGGGCAGTTACATGTGCTTCTTGCCTCTGCGTCACCCTCCTCCTGTCCCTATCTTTCCTTTTGTCCATCCCTCTTCAGCTGTCATACCTTGCTTCTCTGAACTCAACTGACAGACAGAAAGCACCCGTGCTGCTACCTCTGGGCCACAATGGCAGAGAAGCACAAAAAGTTGGAATTTGAAAAAGTTGACAATTCATACTCAGTCTTAAATTTCCAATCACAAAGCCAGCACTTGTAAGTAAAAGTACAAACATTTTGAATAGTAAGTATTTGAAGCTCTCTATCAAAGCACTGGTGTTTGTATAGTAGAGAGGCTTTGAAGCCGAAAACACTGAAGAGTAACATATTCTGACTTCTGTTGTGCCAAGGAATGCATCAACAGCGCGCAACATCACAATGTGTGCACAAGTTGGTATCTCAGTATCTGGAATAATTTGATTGATTGATTGATTTAATGTATTTGTTACAGGGTCCCACTACGCAGCTCAGACTCATAGTGATCCTCCTTTTTGAGTCTCCCCAGTGTTGGGATTACAGGTGGGCACCACCACACCTGGACCCAGTGCAGCTCAGTGCTCCCGGGGGGTGGGGCCTGTGCAGCATGTGGTGCTGGGGATAGAACCCTGGTCCTTATGCTTGTCTAAGTAGGCACTTAGTCTGCTAGGCTATCTCACCAACCCTTTGGAGTAATTTTTAATTCTTTTTTTTTTTTTTTTGTATTTGGTACAGGGTCTCAATAAGTAGATTGGACTCAGTGATTCTCCTATTATCAGCCTCCCAAGTGCTAGGACTACAGCTGTGCACCACCACACCCAGTCTCAATTACTATCTCAGTGTGTACTGGGGGCAGGGCCGGGATTGAACCTCAAGCCCCTGTGTCTGCTTAACCAGGTGCTTTAATCCATTGAGCTATTTGGCAGGTCCTAAGAATAATTTTTAAAACAGTAGTAGTGAAATGTATAGGATTACCCTCAGTCTTGACATGAAGTTTCAGGCAATATGTACTCCCTTCCTTCTTTTTCTTTTAATTCCTCTTCAACTTGTCATACTCATCCATTCTAGGGTACCGGCAAATGGCTAGCTCATATTTTGTGTGCCAGGAGAAATAAAAAAATCTGCCAGCCATTTGACTATCCCATCATTAACTGGAAGTTGTAGTCCAACTTCAGAGATAATGGTGTGTGTAAAAATGAATCTTATTGTCATACCATGCAACATTCTACCAGTACAGCACCTGAGTGCCTTCTGTCCTCTGTGTGTGTGTGTGTGTGTGTGTGTGTGTGTGTGTGTGTGTGCGTGTCTGAGATCTGACTCCAGCACTAACCTACAAATCCACTGTTTTTCATTTCATTTTGAGACAGGGTCTCACTAAGTTACCCAGATGACCTCCGACTTGTGGTCTTCCCGCTCAGCTACTGCAGTGGCTGGATCATAGGCGTGCACCACAGTGTCTGCTGATCCTGGTCTTTAATTGTGTTATTACGGGTATGTATGTGCTTATACAACACTGAGATTTTTCTCATTCTTTTTATATTATTGGCTAACTGCACCAGTTTTGTTTTGTTTTATGTTTTGGCAGCACCAGAGATCCAACTCAGGACCTTGCACTTGCTAGGTAGGTGCTTATGCTGCTGAGCTATATCCCTGGCTGCTTTATCATTCTTTTTAAATGTATTATGCATCTGCTTCCAAAATTATTGATGAGATATATAAAGGGCTTGAAATTATTATTATTTTGTATTTAAGATAGGGTCTACAGGGTCTCACTGAGTAGATCGGACTCATAATGATCCTTTTGTTTACAGCCTCCCAAGTGCTGGGATCACAGGAGCTTGCCACCGCACCCAGTCTCAATTGCTATCTCAGCGCGCCCCGGGGGCAGGGCCGGCATGGCAGGCCCAGGGATCAAACTCCTGGCCCCTGCATCTGCCTAAGCAGGAGCTTTAATCTCCTGAGTTATTTGGCCAACCCCTTGAAATTATTACTATTTTGAAAACGAAGTCATTGTCAAAAATCTAAAATGTATATTTTAGGAGCTGAACTTTTAATCATTGGTATAGTGTTCAGATTTGTCACTTGGAATTATCATGTATATTTGTTAAAAAACAAATTTCCTGAACTTACTTTTTAAATTTAAATAAAAAGATATTAGAAATAGAGAAAAAATAAATTTACATGTATTGTAATGAATATATAAGAACATAAAAAGTACACTACACGTATGAGCTCCTACTGTGTGAAAACTACTATGCGAGAATCTGAGATTCAAAGATAAATTAGACTTTATCCTTATTTTCAAATAGTTCACATTCCCACTGGAAAAATAGAACCACCAAATATGAAATAGCAGTAAAAGATATAAGAAGGCTATTGATAAAATATTGATTCAGTGAAAGAAGAGATGATTTGATCCTGGGGACCAAGGAAATATCTACATTAGAAGTGGCCCTTGAGTTGGGACTTAGAGAACAGATAGAAAAGATTATAGTCAAGAGACAAGATGGGGAGGACAACAGGCAGAGGGATCTGCTGGTTAAATCCCAGAGAGCTTGCAAGCAGAGTAGGCAATAGTTTCATTTCTGTGCATGGGTTGGGGTAATTCAAAAGACAGACTGGGAGGGAATTGGAAGAGAACTTTGGAAATCGCGCTAAAGAGCTCATGTCCATTCTGTCCTTATGCACTGAAGAATCACTGCAGGTTCTGTTATTGCTGCAACTGTGAAGATTTCCTGAAAATGTAACTGATAACTAAGAAGCATGTAGCACACAGATGTAGTGGCTTGGACTGTATCCACCAAAATGCTGTATTTCCTGGCACCTGTGAATGGGATCTTATTTGGAAATAGGGTCATTAGAGACATAATCAAGTTTAAAGTGGGATCAGACTTGAGTCACTGAGCCTTAATCCGATTATCTTTATAAGAAAGAGGAAATTTGGACACACACAGACACACATGTGGAGGATGGCATGTGACAACAGAGCTGAAGGTTAGAGTGCTGCGGACCAACTGTAAGCCCAGGAACTCCAAAGAGTGCCTCCAGCCACAAGAAGGTGGGGTGAGGCAGGGGGGATCCACCTCTAAAGGCTTAGACAGCCCCACCCCTGACACCTGGGCAGGGCATATCTGGCATCCAGAAATGTGAGAAAATAAGTTTTTAATGTATTGTTTTATGCTGTCCAAGTTTATGTTAATTTGTTATGGCAGCCCCAGTAAACTAACAGAATACCTGATAAAACAGTGCTCTTTTTGGCCTGTTTTTCATAAGGCTGATTAAAACCTACAATATTAGGAATGCTATATAATATTTGATCCAGGGAGAGCAGTGAAGGGAGAGAGAGGGAAAGGCAGCCCGCATGGGGCAAGAGTCTCTGAGGTTCTACTTGTTTACAATTTCAACCAACTAGTGTTTGGATTGTGTGAAAGATTTACGTTTAAGAGAGCTGCCCTGTTTGAACATTAGAAAGTATGACTATGTGAAAATCATGCCTTAGTGTATTCTGCAGGAGGTGTACCAGACAGGGCCAGAGGGATACTCACTTCGACATGTTGACAGGTTTGGATGAGCTTAGCCAAAAGGGTCTCCAGTTCCGTGTTCCTCTTAATAAGGTTGGTGAGGTTACTCTCTAAATTTTGCTGTTCAAAAAAAGACAGGAAAAATGTCATTCTGTATGCTTTCCTCCGTTAGTACACACAAAATTCCTTATACTCAGGAGAAACACATACGCTCTTCCGATACCTCAGTGAAGTCAATGCAATTTCAATTATTTTAAAATTTAAACTAGAATTTCTTTTTCTTTACTCTTTCTTTCTTCTTTCTTTCTTTCTTCTTTCTTTCTTTCTTTCTTTCTTTCTTTCTTTCTTTCTTTCTTTTTCTTTCTTGTTGTTACTAGGAATGGAACTCAGGACTTTGTACTTCGCAGACAGGTGCTGTGCTGCTGATCTCTCTCCCTGGCCTTAAACTAGAATTTCAAAAGTTACACTCAACGAAAATTTTAGAAATATTCAAATGACATCTTTTTGCTCCCACTCCTTGTACTAACTATATTTAAATGAATAATTAGCAACCAGTTATGGTTAGGTCATGAGGTAGGGAGGAAGCTAGTAATTGGATTTTTATTCCTTTACCTGAATCAGAAGTGGCAATAATGTAAAGAATATGTTCCTACATCAAATCACCAACCCTTAGACTTGTAGGATTTACCATTTAATCGTTGGGCTGAGGTTAATCTCTTGGAAAAAGGTTTGAATTGAGCAGATACCATTGACAATATGGCCATTTATAGACATTTATAAGAGGTCTTTGTCACACACATTTACTCAGGCATAGTACATTCTTTGTCTATCAGTGCTAGATCAAATTTCCCTGTACACTGTATTTATACCACTATTCTGCTTAAGACTAGAGAATTAGCCTCTATTTCTTTGGAGCATCAAATATAAAGTTTCCTGAAAAAATGTTGAATCGTACTTTCAGACACAATAACCTTCTGTTCTTGACAAGACTCATTAAATTTGTCCACTCCTCCATTTGATGTCATCCATCCATCCATCCATCCATCCATCCATCCATCCATCCATCCCCATCCATCCATCCATCCATCCATCCATCCATCCATCCATCCATGTACTTATTAAGCTTCTAGAGTACATTATACTCTGTGAGAAATACTGGAGAAGTAATCATAAAACATATTTACTGTTCACAGGAAGATGGCTACGCAATGGGAGAGAGATGTTTAAGAGGCAAAGGGGGAATAGATGGCTGTCTGAGGAAAGTTTCTTTTTGGTATCAGGGATTGAACTCAGGTCCTTGTGCTTGCCAGATTGGCACATATGCCACTGAGCTCTATATATGGCCCAAAGTTTCTAAGAAGACAGAAGCCTTTAGCTGAGGCTGGAATGGGAGGGAGAGTGTTGTTGGACAAGAATGGGAATTTCTTGCCAAGATGAAACAGGACAAAAGCAAGCCTGAAGAAGAGTTCTCCATGGGCAGGGAATAGATCCGTGCCATGGTAATAGCAGGGAGGCAGGAGAGGCAAAGGGCTAGGAAACTATGTGTTTTGCAATATAAATAGTTCCCCCAAATAAGCAAAGATATGGGACATTGGGAAATTTTATGAAAAAGACAGGGAATTTCAGGCTTCTGATGGCATCTTACAAAGGAGACTTGGGGGTCGCAGGTGCTCAGTGGCACAGCAGTTGTCCAGCATGCACAAAGCTGGGGCTCCATCTCTCAGGTGCGAAAGATAAAACAAAAACAACAAAGAGATTTGGGGAAGATTTTGGAAAATGTCAAGTTCTGAAAGATTATGGCAGTTCATTTTGTTGTAGCATTTATAAAGTTTAGCTTATTCTACTTTTCTAGATGTTTTTTAATTAGAAAGATATATTAAGGGAAAGAATAATTTTTTTTTTACCTGATGCTTAAAATGAATGTGCCAGCAGCAGAAATCTCTGGTTATTCTTAAACAGGTTAATCTGGCATTTATTCTACTGCTGGCACTTTTGGATTTCAGTGACTGCATTCTTATTCCTGGGAGCTTCTTCGTCACATTTCCTTTTTCTTGGTGAACTGCTTTCTGTCCTGTTGTAAAGATGCAAGTCCCTGCTCCATAATTTCAAGAGACATCAATGTACGTATTCTTAAGCTATTTTGAGAAAAAGCAATTCCATGTCTCCCTGTGTTTGACTCATGTTTTGCAAGGATCTACTTTCATTCTGTGTCTTGTAATTCTTGTGTCAAAGTTCACCCGACGTGACTTTCATTCGCTGTGCCATGATTTGGGAATTGATACAGGCCAGCCAGGTGAGATGCACACTCACTCCCAGGTTAGGACTTGGAGTTCTTTCCCCCAAGAGAGCCCTCCCATGAGACCTCTTCCATGTGCAACTGAAGCACAGATCCTGCTTTGGCTCAGAGCCACTGTTTCCTTCCATGATAGCTCCATCTCTGACTTCGGTGCTAGGTCATGTCTTTTGAGCCCATTGTGTGCATGAGGGGATTCTTTAGGGCCGGCTACCTGGGGCTTCTGCCTTCAGCAATGTCACTGAGGTCCCCAGGGCTCCATCTCATCTCTATCTCTCGGGAGCAGCTGCACTTCAGTCTCCCCTCACCATTGTGCACTTTCTTTCATTTGTGATCACTGATGTGTAAGCTTGGTTGAGTGTTCTTTAACACAGTTTCCCTAGAATTCTTACATGTTAATATTGCAGGGAGAGACTCTGCACCTACTTCATCCAGACTGGAATACTAACAAGAAATCCTCAATCTTGTTTTGGAAACACTCAAAACATGTCAAATATGCCTATTTTAAAAACAAAAATGAGCTGTTTCTCACTTAAAAGTTGGGATGCAAGGACAGGCCAGAAAGTCAGAAAATGAGCCACACAGAATGATTTTAATTGCACCCTAATGATACTGCGCTTGCAACAAAGTAAAAATTTGCTTGCAGACCTTTTCACAACAACTCTCCATCCCCCCTGGGGAGGAAGCCAAAAGTGTTTCCACTGTTCAGGTTCAATGAGCTGAGTTGGTAAACACTTCATGGGAAGAGACTAGAGAACCATTCTGAGAGGTTCCACTAGTGTCCTTGATTTAAATATGATTATTGTATGGTATATTAGTCAGCTTCTTCTGCTTTGTTAATCATAGGGAATCCTTTTACTTTTCTTCTTGGCTGGCCCTTCACAGCAGGAAATTTGTAGGGAAATACATCATCCAACTGTTTACAGTTCAATTGTCATAGGTACGACTTCTCTAAAGCTAGTCAGTATGGGAGCCAAATAAATGCAACGAAACACATTCAGATTTTACAACATCTGTTGCTTTCCTTCCCTTTATTAAGTATGCATCATGTATAAAATCTGTTTTTAATCAATTAATACATATACTAAAGCCTGTGGTTTAAACACTTTGACCTATCCAGATCCTTTGGGGTTCTTGAAATTTAAATAATACAAGTGTGACTGAAGTCCACAAAGAATTACAGAGTCATTTAGAAGTGTAATAAAGAGAAACTAAGCTCAGAGAGAAACACCAGTACCAAAGGGGCTGACAACACTTAGGAAGAGCATCTGGGTAAGGGGAAGGTAACACAATCTGGACTTCAGTGGGCCAGGCATCCATGCACTCCCGCAACAGGCACTGCTCTGGAGGCTTCCATGGAATTTCACTCTATCATTAACATTGTGTGGTAGACAGCAGGGTCTATAACCTCTTGATTTTGACTGCACATTGTGCAAAAGAGAGAACTTTCCCTGGTGTAAAAGCCTTGAGACCAAGTTGATATAAGTATTTACTTCTGTACAGATGTCTAAAAAGTTCTACAACATGCAAAAACATTAGTTTTAATTTCCACTTGTCACCATCAAAGCTTCAAAATATTTACCACTCGATTTCAGGTTGAGCTTTGGGGGAAGCCATGGAGCGAGGCATGAGAATATAAGTGAGGAAAGCAGGGTTACTAAGTTCCCGGCTGAAATTTCTGGAACAAATGACAATGGATACACTGGGCTCAGTTAATCTATCCACAATGAGAGGGTAATGAACAGCTACTGATCTATGCTACTGTTAAGTGCCTAGGAGAAAATTAACACATATGCCAGGAAACTACACAAATGTCTGTTAAAATTGTGGATTTGGGGATAAAACATTCAGCTTGATTTCAGTGCCAGAAACTATAAGGACAGACATCATTCTGGGTGCTGATGATGTTTTTTTTCCAAGGCCCTGAGCCTTTCTGCCCCAGGGCTGTACCAGGCTCCAGGCCAGCAGGGAGGCTTCAGTATTGGGGAGAGTCAGGAATGGCTGATGCCCCTAGGAGACATCCTCCCCTGGAAACCTCTGTTGACTGATGGATGAACACTACAGCTTCTTCACCTGGGGTGGGACCATTGTGACACTGGATCTACACAGTCCTCAACAGAACCCCACTGGGAGGGAGTGTGTGGGTCCACAGCAACAACTTTCTCATTAATATGCCCTCTTTCCACTTCCATCCCTTCCGTTTCCTATCCCTTCCAGGTGCTTCCTGGTGCACCTCCCAATTCAGAGTCTCAGTCTGCATCTACAATAACCCACCTAAGACTATTTCCATAGACAGCTGAATGCATACTTGTGGAAAATTCCTTTCTGTGAGGAATAGTTGAAGTTAGAATTTTTGGTTGGTTTAGAAACATATTTATTTGCAAATACAAGAGAAAGACCATTTCCTCCATTCCCTTATTTACCTTCTCTCTGAATTGTTCTGGAGATCACAGAACCTCCAAATTCCAGGCTCTAGAGCAGTAGTAACAAGAGGAATGTGATGTGAGTCCCAAATTCAAGTCCCATCATTTCAATGTACAATACAGTAAGACTTCAGTTCACAAACACTTCTGTTCACAAACAAGTCAGTTCATAAACAAAAGTGTTGGACAAATTTTTGCTGTTCTTCAGGAACTCCACATAGGTGAGGGGCGCAACAGCGGCCTCCTTCCTCACCCAAGGAGCACAGCCATCTTCCCCAAAATCGTGCACTCAATTAAGCCGGTGAACCAAGGTACCACTGCTAATATGTGAAAGTTGGTGAGTTAATTTATATTCTTTTTGCTTGTCCTTACTAGTCTTTGGAATATGATGTTTTACACTTACA